GAGAAGAGGACAACAAACGAGGGGCTGTGACAAACTGTTTCGTCGGAGTTTCACCGACTCATCAGGAGGCTGAACCCTCAACAGTCTGCAGAATCCCCTCACTGATTACACTGTAAATGATAATCTACCTTAACCAAAATCAAAGTAGATTATCACTCCCCCACACCAGATGGAAAATATATATCGTCACAAACAGAACTGCCTGGTAAACCGTAGGCAGAGAGACAGAAGAGGACAACAAACGAGGGGCTGTGACAAACTGTTTCGTCGGAGTTTCACCGATTCATCAGGATATATATTGCCCCTCGCCATAGGAAAGTTGCACCCTAAAATTCGTTCTACAAGGTACATACCTTCTATTCGAGTACAAGGTACGTGGTACCTTGTACAAGGTGCGTACCTTTTTTTGGGTTACGGCGGTAGTACGAGCCTGATCCTAACCACTCAAATCTGCCAGAACAGAGAGGGCTAGCACGACTGGAATGTGTATTTTTTCATAACACCCCAAACTCTCTCGCTCATTCTATCTGCGAATCATCATAGAAAGCATAGATAGGCAACATAGTAAAAAATTGAAATGTGTGTGTGTGTGTGTGTGTGTGTGTGTGTGTGTGTGTGTGTGTGTGAGAGAGAGAGAAAGTGCCTGCCTCCACGCCTACCCCCCCATCCCTCTATCTCTCTGTCTCCACTCCTCCTCCTGTCCTGTCCTCGCTTGTTCTGTCCTCTCTTCTCCTCTTCTCTCTCCTGTCTCCTCTCCTCTCTCCTGTCTCCTCTCCTATACCCTGCCTCCTTGGGCTCCTCTTGAATGCGTGTGTGCATACCCGACATGATGATGATCTACATGTGATTTCAGATTTGAGCTTTCCGTGTTACTTGCAATCGGGTTCGGTCCCAAAATGAAGCTGCAACTCTTTTTTTTTTTTTTTTTTTTTTCGCTCCATATATTTGGGGGGAGGATCACCTGCTGGAAAGCAGGTCCAGCGTCCAAATGAAGTTTGTGACTCGATGGTAGAACACCACAAAAGAGATGGTCCATATAAGGTGGTGCTTGAGGATGTCAATGAGGAAATAGACGTACACAGCTAACTGATCAGGCTTCCTGATCAGGAAGCCATGAAAAAATATTACCCAAAGTCAAGCCAGGACAAAATAGACAGCAAACTTGAGCAAAGACATACAGTCGGCTTTTGGGAAAAAAAAATCAAAAAAATTGAAAAATTTTAAAATTGAGAAAACGACTGGAACAGCTAAGCTATTAATAGGCTATTATGTACAAAAGAAAAACAAGACTTTTGTTTTTTCTTTTAAAGAAGTTTTTTTTTTAATGCATAGAATAAAAAGAAACCTACTAATTATGTCTCTAGATGCGCTGCTCCTAATGCCCATGCGACAAAAAAACTTTCTTAGAGCGAAACCTAGGCTACCAGCAGGGCTGGCCGGGTCCCGGTGGCCAGCCCGTGCAAGGACCAGCGAAGGTCCCAGCCAAAAAAAAAAAAAATCCAAAAAATCTGGAAAAAATACTATGTTATGCAGAAAAATAAACTGAACAACTTTTGCCCCAGAGTCACATCGACATTCTGCACCAACTTTGCCTCAGGGTCATAACGACGCGGTATCATGTACAACATATAGTTTCGACTTGCAACAATTCAAGTCTTGACGACCAAAACAACGTACGGTATTCACCCCCCAAGCGGGCCAGCACTGAATCAGAGAGAGACTCTGGACAGGTTTTGATTGTTCAATCAAGTTCTTTCAAACTGCAGATCGGTCGTCTCTTGGTCACAATAGCCATTCCAATACTCATCGCTCAACTCCCGAAACAACAGCCGAGTACTAAACATGGTCACCCCCGCCCCCCTCTCCCTCCCCCCCCCCCCCCCCCCCCCCTCCCCAATCTAATATCCAGCACCACACATTTTCAACACGTTCTCCACGTCATTTCATGCCCGCCGTCGTCTCAGTCACCAAAAAGAAAAAGAAAAAGATAAGTGTCCACCCGTTTCAACACACACACACACACACACACACACACAACACACACAGACACACACCACACCCCCACAGACGCACCCACGCACCCCTCCACTGAATCGGGAGTAAGGACAGGTTTTGATTGTTCAATCGAGTTCTTTCAAACTGCAATAGGAATTGCAGTACTCGTCGCTCAACTCTCAAACAAGTTCAATCCACAGTGACGTACTAAAAAACTCGTGCTTCTTTTCTGTCTCTCTCTTTTCTCACTGAAAACTCGGAAAGGGAAATAAAAAAACGGACAAGCTCCTAATGCTGCTGTACTGCACCGAACAGGATTTTTTGAAGTTTTGAACCCTTCAACTGTACACATCAGACATGCTAGGGCCCTAGGGGCATGCGCCGTGCAGCACATACTCCATACTGCCTTGCAAGTCGAACTGCTCCGATCAGTTTTGCATTTTTGCTTTCTACAGAATTGGAAAACATCCATTAACAGCAAAATAAAAATAAAAATAAAAACAAAAAATAAAATAAAAAAAGGGATCCAATGTCAGCAGGTAGGTATCAAATGTCAGGCTCCTGCTCCGATAAGGTGAGTCTGACTGTGTTCGTTGAATCTCAAAAAGGGAAAGAAAACGGACTACCTACGTCCCCTATGGCTTGCTATTGCATTGGACTGTTTGGACAGGATTAGAAGTTAGAACCCTTTTCACAGTGAAGTAATAATGCACTGAACGTCCCGCCTTTTTTTTTTTTTTTTTTTTCCCTCTCGCTCTTTTCTCATTGAAAAAGGAAAGAAAAGTTAGAAAACGGATTAGTTCCTAGTTCTACAACTTCTACTCCACTAGATAGGATTTGAAGTTCGAAGTTCGAATGCTTTACTAGAATTCTAGTACATCAGACACTCTAGGGGCATGCAACACATATATACTACATAATAGTCCATATACTGCCTTGCAAATCGAACTGCTCAGATAAGCCCTTTCCTAAAATCCTCGTTTCGCATTTTCATTCTACATAACCATCGACAGGTACCCGATGTCTGGCTCGCGGTCTAGAAAAGGTGAGTCCGACTGTGTTCGTAGAAAACCTCGAAAAGGAAAGAGAAGTTCGAAAATGGATTAGTTCCGTACCCTCCTACTACTACATTGGAGAGGATTTGCAGTTTTGAAGCTTTTGAAGCTTATGAACCCTTTACCTGTACATCAGACACACTCTAGGGGGGTACTCCATTCTCCATTCTCCATTCTCCATTCTCCATTCTCTGTTCTCTGTTCTCAAGACTGCCTTGCATACCAAACTGCTCAGATAAGTTTTGCATTTTTTAATTTTCGGTAATTTTTTATTATTTTTTTTGTAATTTTTTATTCTATAGAATCGACAGGTATCCAATGTCGGGCTCATGCTCTGACAAGGTGAGTCCGACTGCGTTAGCCGACCCTCGAAGCAGCATTAGCTCCTCAGCCATTCTGTGATTCTCCGTCTCTACCTCCGCAAGCTTGGATTTCAACATCTCTAACTCCTGCAAGAAAGTTTCACAAGCACGTCGGTTCCGTAAATAAACGTAACCTTTCCTTTGCTCTTTCTCTTTCTTTCTGAAAAGACATCATGCCTCTGCTTCATGAGCTGTATGAAGTATTATGAACAAAACCAATTTTCCCCACAGGACAATTTTCGTTTTGTTTTTTTTTCCATTTCTCTCTCTCTCTCTCTCTCTCTCTCTCTCTCTCTCTCTCTCTCTCTCTCTCTCTCTCTCTCTCTCTCTCTCTCACACACACACACACATAGGTACTGCGTGCAACTCTCTTCGAAGGCATCTTTTTCGACAAGTACTCCAATCTTTAGTCGGTAGCCACGCCCATCCCGCAGCACGTCTCCGATACTGAAGAATCGACAGGTACCCGATCCCGATGGGTTCCCGTACAACCAAGGACAACAGGACTTCAAACTTCAAAGGATGTTCTTTGGAAGGAGAAAAAATAAAAAAGGATTCCCACCAGCGGGCCGAGAGCAGTGGGTACATCGCATAACTGTTGAAATGCACATCAAAGTTTCGAATCCAGATGCAATCAGATGAAAAGAACGGGCCAACTGCAGCTATAATGACTGAAGGTTCTATTTGGGCGACAACGGTAGTCCAAACAAGGGCCTTGGATCTTGGATCCAGACAGGTGGGCCCTACCGGGCCAAGGGTTATCACATTGCAGTCGCACTAGTGTAATAAATCTTCAGTCTCAGGCATAGGGCTCAACCGGGGTAACAGCCTCGTCACAATCTTAAGAGCACATGGCAAACCGGGCTGCCAGCCCAGCACGACAGGCCGACGGTCTCGATTAGAGGTGTGTAGGTCCTGCTGACTCCAATTAGTCCTTTTCGTCACCCTCCCTGCCTCTGCCTCCCTGCCTCCCTGCAATTTTTGGTGTTCTGTCCTTTTCATTGCCGTGTCCATCTTGTTCCTTTTCTTCCCCCACTCCTTTGTTGTGCATGTGCGTGTGTGTGTGTGTGTGTGTGTGTGTGTGTGTGTGTGTGTGTGTGTGCGTGTGTGTG